CCCATTTCCCCAGCCTCCTCTAAGCCTTCCCTCCCACCCTACCCACACTGGGCTAGCACCCTGCTTAGCCAATCTGAGGAGGATGGACTAAGGCCATTCACCCTAAGGTCTGTTCTTCTGTGACATACTTGTTTCTGCAATGTAAATATTCTCCACATGCTCCTATAACTGCTGGGTTGAGCAGACTCAAGACATAAGAACCAGACTCTGATGACTCACACCTATAATCCTAGCCACTCCGGAAGCTGATATCTGACAATCTCAGTTCAGAGATAGCCTGGGCAGGAAAGTGCACCAGACACTTATCTCCAGTGAGCCTGTCAAAAACTGGGACTGGAGGCATTGCTAAAGTGGTAAAGTGACCGCTGTGAACAGAAAAAGCCAAGGGAGAGTACCAAGGATCAAGGCCCTAGGTTCATGCCCCAGTACTCGTGAGAAAGAAAAACAAAAGAAACACCTGAGGTAGGGTAGGAGCTAGTATGGTTTCCAGAGCCTTTCTTTCCATACACTGGGGAATAGATCCTCCCAAGACTAATACTTTCTATATATGAGAAACTGGCCTGGGGGCTTGAGAGTATACCTCAGTGGAGGGGAGGGGAGAGAGCTAAATGTCCTCCCACTTTGGTCCCTGATTGTACACATAGACTCAGGAACACCAACCATGGCAATCCAGCTTTTTGGGAACAGCATCCATGACCCCATTCTGTCTGTCTTACACAAAGCAAGACTCAATACTAACTCTTTTCTCATTTCTTAGACTGTCTTGGGGGTCAGTTGTGAGACTTGAACTCAGGGCTTAAGCTCTATCCCTGAGCTCTTTTGCTTAAAGCTAGCTCTCTACCACTTTGAGCCACAGTGCCACTTATCGTTTCCTGGTGATTAATTGGAGATAAGAGTCTCCTGTACTTTTCTGCCCCACCTGGCTTTGAACCGTGACCTGAAGACCTCAGCCTCTTGAGTAGCTAGGATTATAAGTGTGAGTCACTAGCACCTGGCTTAACTTGTCTCTAGTGGTTCTAACATATGTCTTTTTTTTTCCTAGCTGTATACTTCTGGTTTTTGGTTTTCCAAATGTTCTACAACGACATTTAGAGAGAACAAAAATTTAAAAAAAAAAATCTGTTAGAACAAAATCAAAAAGTAAACTGTAAATACCTGAGCAGTCTATCTGCCTTCAAGCTTGCTTTCCTTGGTCTGGAGGACAGGCTCTTGCTGGTAACGAGCCTGTTTGTCTAATAATTCTATGAAGAGATCAGTATCCTCTTCTTGGTAGAAAATAATTAAGACTATTTACACACCTTTCCTTCAGATTCCACAAACTGCCTCAGAACATTCTCAGCTAGCCTGGGCTCCAGTGAGGGAGCAGCAGGGTCTGTGAGTCTACAAACAGTAGCCTGTGCTTCTAGAAAAATGGGATCTAGAATGTTCCAGCCCCATTGAAGAGCAGTGTGGAAAAGAAAAAAAATCTGATTGTCTTCTTAATTGCAATTTTCTAAACACTGATCTTGTAGATTGTTTAAAATAATGAAAACTCACCAATTTGGATGGGGTGGGGAGGAGTTGTTTCAGTGACTTAAATTGGTTAAAATATTTCATGTGGTCAAATATTGATTTACACAATCATTTCTAAGGGGGTCTCAGTCTTGCTGAGACAGGAAACAGAATTGCTATCATATGAGCTGGGCAATGGCTGCTCACACCTATAATCCTAGCTACTCAGGAGGCTGAGATCTGAGGATCCTGGTTCAAAGCCAGCCTAGGCAGGAAAGTCTGTGAGACTCTTATCTCCAATTAACCACCAAAAAACCAGAAGTGGTGCTGTGATTCAAGTGGTAGTGCTAGTCTTGAGCTGAAGAGCTCAGGGACAGTGCCAGACCCAGAGTTCCAATCCCATGATGATAAAAAAAAAAATTGCCATAATGTGTTTTACTGAGATGCCAGGGCCTCCTGAAGGTGCAGACAATGGAAGGCTGGCAGGTACCTAGCATTCACCAGGCCCTGGGACCCATCTCCACTCCTGAAGAAAAACAGAAGCTGGCCCAGCCCAGGATGCATTCCTGGATGCCCTGGAGGCTAACACAAAGTGAATACAGAAGAAGCTAAATAAATATTTACTAGGTAAAGCTGGGACTAGGATTCCTTCCAGGAGAGATAATGAAACTAAGGTCTGGGGGTTTAGTAAAAGTTGCTTTTCCTCTTTCACCACGTTTGAATTTTTACTGGAGCTTTGAACTCAGCACTTCATGCTTAGTAGCTTGCTAAGCAGGTACTTTACCACTTGAGCAACACCCCCATCCTTTACCATATTTTTAGAGATTCAGTCAATATTTATAACTAAAATAGGTAAGATTATCTAAATCTTATTAGATGAAAATAATAATTGTTGGACTGGGAAGTTGGTTCCGTGGTAGAGTGTCTGCCTCACATGCATGAGGCCCTCAGCACCAATAAGCAGAAAAAAAGCCGGAAGTGGTGCTGTGGCTCAAGTGGTAGGGTGCTAGCCTTGAGCTGAAGAGCTGAGGGGCAGCACCCAGGCCCAGAGTTCAGCCCCCATGATGAACAAAAGAAAGAAAGAAAGAAAGAGAGAGAGAGAGAAAGAAAGAAAGAAAGAGAAAGAAAGATAATAATTGCACTGATTTAAAGATTTGTAGATTATAAAAGCTTTTTCTTCTGTAAGATCGAATTGTGTTGTCTACGTAACAGTGTCTTAAGTGATATTAAGGTGAAAGTAATAATTGTAAACATCCATTTTTAAGCACTTCGTAGGCCCCAGACAATACTCTAGGTGTGTGTGTGTGTGTGTGTGTGTGTGTGTGTGTGTGTGTGTGTGTGTGTCTGTGTCTGTGTCTGTGTGTCTGTGTGTCTGTGTGTCTGTGTCTGTGTATTAATTCCCTCTGACAGGGTCTAGATGATTTAAGAACAATGTCTCACTTTACAGATGAAGCAACTGAAATGAGAAACTGAGTCAGCAAGCCCAGCAAGAACCCTCTGACCCAGAAGGTAACCCAGGTCTAATTCTGGATAGCCCAGGCCAGTACTGGCCTGGGCACTGCTCCTTAGCTTTTTTGCTCAAGGCTAGTAGCACTCTACCACTTGAGCCACACCTTCGCTTTCAGATGTTTTTGGTTTTGTTTTTTGGTGGTTAATTTAAGATAAGAGGCTTACAGATTTGACTGCCAGGGCAGGCTTTGAACCTTGATCCTCAGATTTCAGACTCTTGAGTAGGTAGGATTACTAGCATAAGCTACCAGCACCTGACTTCCAATTCTTTTTTAAAGCATGTCCAATTCTAATGCCGTCAACTAGCTTAATAGATTGTTCATTTGAAGAAATTTTAACCAGGACTAGGAATGTGGCTTAGTGGTAGAGTGCTTGCCTAGCATGTATGAAGCTCAGGATTTGCTTCCTCAGTACCACAGGAACAGAAAAAGTCAGAAGTCGCCAGGCACCAGTACTCACACCTATAATCCTAGCTATTCAGGAAGTTGAGATCTGAGGATCATGGTTCAAAGCCAGCCCAGGGCAGGAAAGACCACGTGAGACTCTTATCTCCAATAAACCACTAGAAAACCGGAAGTGGCGCTGTGGCTCAAGCTGTAGCGTGTTCGCCTTGAGCTGAAGAGTGCAGGGACAGTGCCCAAACCCAGAGTTCAAGCCCCATGACCGACCAAAAAAAACAAAGCCAGAAGTGGTGCTGTGGCTCAAATGGTAGAGTGATAGCCTTGAGCAAAAGAAGCTCAGGGACAGTGCCTAGGCTCTGAGTTCAAGCACCAGTACTGGCAAAAAAGAAACAAGTTTTAGCCAATAATAAACAAAATCATCCCAGGGATGCCCAGCCTCTTCTTCCAAAAAGGCAAATGGCACAGAGGGGGAGAAGAGAGGACCTCTAGGGACCATGGCTGAGCCATGGAGGGATCCAATGGGGTACAACTGAGCCTCCAGGGTTTCCTCCAGCTCAGTGCCCAGCTCGATTGTGTAGTACTGTCACCTGCAATTAGAACACTGCTTGGTGCTTAGTAGTCATTCAGGAGCTAAGCTGGCTGAGTATGTGGAGGTGCCCTAGACCTGCTCCAATAGTAACCAAGCAGCCTCTCTGCACAGTGAACTCTGAAACGGCCCTGTGATGTCCGATGGACCATTATCCCCAACTTAACCTGCAGAATCGCAGGAAGCCGTGCAGAAGGAGTCACTCTAGGGCCCTCAGGAAAAGGCAGTGGCAGGACTGATATGCAAATATATTTTTAAATGGCCTAAAGATAGGCCACAATAAGAACACAACAAGGCTAGTTCCTATCCCCTAGAGAACAAGCCTAGACCCTACAACAAGGCAAAATAGTCACGATCCTGTGCAATTAAAGAAGATAAAAAATGGGGGCTGGCAGAGAGCCACAGGCTCATGCCTGTAATCCTACCTACTCTGGAGGCTGAGATATGAGGATTGTGTTTCAAAGCCAGCCCAGGCAGGAAGGTCCACGAGACTCTTACCTTCAATTAATCACCAGAAAACTGAAAGTGGCACTGGGGCTCAAGCGGTAGATTGCTTGCCTTGAGCAAAAAAGAGATGGCAGCCAGGCCCTGAGTTCAAGCCCCAGGACTGGAAAAAAAAAAAAGAGCTGGAGGTGTGGCTCAAGGGGTAAGGTAGGGCGAAGTGCTTTCCTAGCAAGTTTAACACTGCCAATAGACTTACACTGGGGCAAAGCAAATAATGCTTCCCCCTGCCCCAGAAAAATAAGCTTTCTGCAGGGCACACATTTGGCACTGTACAGGTGAGAGACCCCTAGGGCTAGGCACGAGTGTGGATTGTAATGCATTTCTGAGCTCCGGTAAAGACAGGTGTCTGCAACTGTTGAAAAAGTCCCAGAATCGTATACAGGGGAACTTTGAGTGATAGCAAAGGAGAATCTGTTTCCTGGACGCCCAGACCTGAGTTGACCCCATTGGAAGCACCGCCCCCCCACACACACCTGCACCCAGCCACTGCTCGGCCCACCACCACGCACCTTGGATGGTTCTCTTGAAGAAGGCCTTGCAAGCCTCGCAGGAGGCCACGCCGTAGTGGTAGCCGGAGGCAATGTCCCCGCACACGAGACACAGGCGCTTGGGGATGGCGTTGAGCATGTACTCGCACTTGATGGCCGAGTCCTCCATGATGCCGCTGGCACAGTCCTCGTAGCCCTTGCGGCAGGCAGGGCCTCCCAGCCCTGCACCTGCGAACATGGGTGGCGAGTCCAGACCATTGGCGTGAGTGCCTAGGGCCATGCCAAAACCACCGCTGGCGTCTGACGAGCCGCTGGGGCTGTGGTGGCTGAGGGCATCAATGCCCGAGGACGGACTGGACGGCTCCGTCTTGATGAAAGAGCTGCAACTGGAGCCCAGGAGCCGGTCGTCTGCGGACATCCGGTTGAGCAGCCTGTGGACAGAGAGCAGGCGAGTCAAGGTGGGAGGGTCTGGTAGGCGGGGCTCCAGCTAATGTCTGCTGAGATGCAGTGGTGGTCCGCTTGGTGCAGCCCACGGCAAGTTTCTGCAAACTTCTGAGTTCTCCTAGACACTGCTGTTTGTTTTGTTTTGCTTTATTTATTGTGTGTGTGTCTGTGTGTATGTCTGTGTCTGTGTGTCTGTGTGTATATCTGTGTCTGTGTGTCTGTGTCTTGCCCCTAGCTTTCTCACTCTACCACTTAAGGCAAAGCCATGGCTTCACTTCTGGTATTTTTTTATTCTATTTTATTTTTGGTGTTTAATGAGAAAAATAAATAAATAAAAGGCTCACGGAGTTAACTGCCCCGGCTAGGTTTGAACTACCATCCTCCAATTTCAGCCTTCTGAATAGTTAGGGTTCCAGGTATGAGCCACCAGCCCCCCAGCTCAAGTCACACATCTCCCACTTAGCAAAGTGCTAGCCTGTGGAGGACACAAGATGACAACTCTTCAGCCCCAATGTTTGGCCAACTTCCCGCCCGGTAATTACAATGTAGTGGCTACAATATAACTATCCCAATGTGTCCAGCCCTGCATCAGGAACCCAGCTCATTGCATGGTAAGAGCTGTCCATGATAAGGACTCTGCTGGGCGGAGAAACCAGCCCATGCTTAGTGCTTTCCTGGTTCTTTCAGCAACACTGGGACTAAGGAGGTCAAGTCATCAGACCCAGGCACGAGAGACAGTGTGAGGGAAAGTTACAACCCAGATTGGTAGCCCTTGGGTTTTGCCCCAGGCCCAGGACTGCTTATCAGATGGCTTATAGCTCCCTGACCCTTCCCCCTCTCATTTTCCTTCCTAGCCCCTGGCTCCCACCCAACCCACCTACCACCAAGACTGTGCAGCCAGCAGAATGCTAAAGGCAGGCTACCCATCCCATCCCTGCTTGTGTACACCTCTCCTTCCCTCCCCATCTGTGGTAAGGTTTAGTTGCCTAGGCCGGCCTCAAATTCCAAGGCTTTCACATTCAGCTATACCTACAGCCCTTAACCTGAAGTTTCTTAGCCTGGAAGCTCCTTGCTTCACCAGGAGAACAAAACAGCCTCACCAATATGGCGGGTCATGGCCAGAAAATCGCAAGTTTCCAAGAACGGGAAGCCTCTCCTCCCAGAGCCCTGTGGGGTAGCAGGGAAGGCAGCCAGGATATATCCCTCCCATATCCCAGCTCCCATATCCCCAGGTCCAAGTGGGGACCTGGGCCTCCCTCAGCCTGAAGATGCAGAATGGCTGAGCTCCCAGCAGGCGATGAGCTGTGTTCAGGAGAGCACAGCTGCTCCCTGCACTGCAGGCTAGATTGGGATCTGAGTCAGGAGGCCTGGGGTCCAGCCACAGGTGGCCCCACTCTCTCCACCGCTTCTGTGAAAGGAGCAAGAGGAAGATGATGCTTATGCCCCAGGGACAGATAAAAAAGGAAAGGGAACCAGGCACAGGTGGCTCACGCCAGTAATCCTAGCTACTCAGGAGGCTGAGATCTGAGGATCACGGTTCAAAGCCAGCCCGGGCAGGAAAGTCCGTGAAACTCTTATCTTCAACTTCTTATCCTTGAGCTGAAGAGCTGAGGGATCACTGTCCCAGGCCCAGAGTTCAAGCCCCACGACCGACAAAAAATAAAAAATAAAAGAGGAAAGGGAAAGATCTTGGATGCCTGCCAAGCCAACTCCAGGGTTCTGTCCAGTGCACCAAACAAAACAAACAAACAAAAAAGAAAGCCAAAATCTCAACGTAGGAGGGACCACCGTGGAGCTGCCAGGATTCTACCTCCAGCGTTACTCAGAGATAATGACTGCTTTCTTGTCAGCACTATCTTTTCTTTTTTTCCCTCTGTGTGTGTGTCTGTGTCTGTGTTGTGGTCTTGAACTCTGGGTTTGGGTGATGTCACTGAGCTCTTCAGCTCAAGGCTAGAGCTCTACCACTTGAGCCACAGCACCACTTCCAGTTTTCTAGTGATTATTTGGAGATAAGAGTCTGATGAACTTTCCTGCCTGGGCTGGCTTTGAATCATGATCCTCAGATCTCAGCCTCTTGAGTAGCTAGGATTATAGGCGTGAGCCACCAGCACTGTCTTTTCTAGGCAGCCCCCTAGAGAAAAGTCTGGATACTCCCTGGCAAAGGGGCTACCTCCATAGACTACCAAATCCACCTTACATCAAAGTCCTTGGCCATATCCCAAGACCTCAAAGTTATCTGTTAAATCTTCTAGTATAGGGCTGGGAATGTGGCTTAGTGGTAGAGTGGCTTGCCTCACATGCATGCAGGCCTGGGTTCAATTCCTCAGTACCACATAAACAGAAAAAACTGGAATTGGTGCTGTGGCTCAAGTAGTAGAGCCCTAGCCTTTAGCAAAAGAGGCTCAGGATCAGTGCCGATCCCCAGGACTGGCAAAAAAAAAAAAAAACTTCTGGTATAGGGGTCTCTACCGTCCTTGCTCCCATTGGTAAGTTCATGGACAACACATCTCCTAAGGTTGTCCCTTATTTGAACACGAACATGCCCAGAATAATCAGTAACTGCCTGATACTGAAAGACTGGCCCTCCAGTTTACAATGTCCTGGAATATAGTGTGTGAGGACGGAGGCTCCGGGTCTCTTCTGTTTCAAATGGAGTATTTCGGAAGCCCCCTGGGATCCTCTGAATTGACAAAGGGTTTTCCCATTGAGGGTCTTCTCCAGGTCCTTTAACATATCAGGCTGGTGCCCTGACCTCTCCCTAGGCAAAGCACCCACCTTCTCTCCAGACGTCAGTGGTGTGGCCCCGGGAAGTGCCATCAGTCTGGCAAGATATCCATCATCTGTCAGAATTTGACTGACCAGGCAGGGGTGTACCTCTCAACCCTCCCCGCCACTGCCCTACCATAACATAGAACAGCAAACCACATACTCTGATGTTCTACTCTTCACAGGACCATGCCAGGCCTGCTGTAAAGTTCTGCTGGCAGAGCTCCCCTTTCTTTGGCTTCAACCAGTCTTCTCCAGGTTTCCCCAAAGGGAAAGATTTCACAAGATACACATAACATAAACCGTCCTGAGCAACAGCTATGATTTAGTCGGCATGTACTATATGCCCTGTGTGCTTCAGCTCTGTCCTTAGAGGTATGAGAAGCATCAACCCCAGGAAGCAAGTCGATCCCGGTAGGTGGCCCAACTGCCTTCTCAGCCCCAAGGCTCAGCTAACCTTGATGGACACACTGATGGTTAGTGATTGTGTCTCCAACTCTTGGTTTCCTCTCTTGTCCCTCCCTTCTTGATCTTGAAGGACCCAGTGTTTGTTCCTCTCCTCCTCCAGGGCTAAGCAAATGGATCTCGGCCTCCTTTAGTTGGCAGGAGAAACACCTGCTAATTTAATGCCTGAATCCCAGCTGGGGGGTGATGGGTTCAAATGATGTCATTTCTTTACTGTTTATTTACTTTTTATACCAAAGACTTGCTATAGAGCCCAGGTTGGCCTTAAATTCATAATCCTCCTGTTTCCACCTTCAGAATGTGAGGGTTATGGGCATGCACCACACCTGGCTCAGCATTCTCCCAGCTAAGCTTTCTCATTTCTGTATTATTAAAGTGTTGAAAGGAATCCCTTTTGAAAGGACAATCAGCATCTACTCAGTGCTAAGAGTCAACCTGACCAAAAAGCAGACAAGCAGAGCCCAGTGTCTCAAGATTAGGCCCCGTCTTAAATATCCAACAATGAACAACTAAAAATGCATAGAGCCTCAGAAAAGACCTTGTAGAAACTATGTTGATGGGGGGGGGGCGCCCTATTGTGCCCTGCCAAGTCCTACTTTGTATATACTGGAAGAAGCCACAGCTTCTTTACTGGGTTCTTCCAGGCTCATCTAGTTCATCTTGTGTGTGTGTGTGTGTTTGTGTGTGTGTGTGTGTGCGCGCCGCGCGCACGTGTGTGTGTGTGTTTGTGCATGCATGCGCATGTGCACGTACACACACACACATCTGTTCTAAGGCTGGGTAGTAGCAGCCATTATCCTTTAAGCCCCAGCTGCACATACCGGATTTTCCTTTATAACATCTTATTTAATGCTTTCCCTGTCTCCTACACACTTCTTAGCTCCACTTTACTGAAGAGACAGGCTGGAGCTCAGCGCTTGTTCAGTTTACTCCAGTGATGAGTAAAACGAGGTACCAACCAACACAGTCTGATTGCAGTTCTAGGCTCTTGCCTGACCTCAAACCCACCCTCTGCCCTCTGTGTAAAACCCTTCAAATGCAGCCAATATCTGATGGCCTTCAACAGACCCCAGGTCCTCACTGTCATGACTGTCTTGACTTCTTATCATGTAAGAGAACTTTGGAGATACAGGGCCATTCTTGGCTGCCTTACTTGATATACCAGGAGGGCAAAGAAAGCTACTGAAGAGGTCAGAGCCTCTGGGGTCTCAGGGAGTCTGATTTCTACAACATTGTTCTTTCATGGACAAATTGGAAGGAAGATGCATAGCTTCAGGCTGTAAACTTATTATTATTATTATTCTTTTGCCAGTCCTGGGGCTTGAACTCAGGGACTAGACATTGTCCTCAAGTCTCTTTGTGCTCAAGGCCAGCATTATCACTTGAGCCACAGTGCCACTTCCAGCTTCTTCTAAGTAGTTTTGGAGATAAGCATCTCATAGACTTTTCTGCCCGGGCTGGCTTTGAACCACAATCTTTAGATCTCAGCCTCCTGAGTAGTTAGGATTACAGGCATGAGCCACTGACGCTTACAACTGTTGTAAGGCTTAACTCAGGGCCTGGGCTCTATCCCTAAGCTCTTTTACTCAAGGCTAGCTCTATACCACTTTGAGCCACAGTGCCACTTTTGGTTTTTGAATGATTAATTGGAGTTAAGAGTCTCAGGAGGACTTTCCTGAGAGTCAGTGACACTCTTATCTCTAATTGACCATCCAAAAATCAGAAGTGGAGCTGTGGCTGACATAAAAGCTCAGGGAACACATCCAGGCACCCAAGCCCCAGCAACAAAAATAAATAAATAAATAAATAAACCTAGTCCACCTGGGTGCTGGTGGCTCACTTCTGTCATTCTAGCTACTCAGGAGGTTGAGATCTGAGGATGTAAGTTGAAAGCCAGTCTGGACAGGAAAGTCCATGAGAGTCTTATGTCCAACTAACCACCAGAAAATGGGAAGCGGTACTGTGGCTCAAAGTAATATAGCACTAGCCTTGAGCAAAAGTAGCTTAGGGACAGCACCCAGGCCCTGAGTTCTAAAACAAAAACAAAAAACTAGTCGAGCCACAGGGGCTTAGGACTGTAATCCTAGCTACCTGGTAAGGATCTGTTTGAAGCCACTTTGGGCAGAAAAGTCTAAGAGATGCCATCTCTCCAACTAACCAGCAAAACGTCAAACTGGAGGTGTGGCTCAAGTAGTAGAATCCCAGCTGTGAACAAAAAAAATGAGAGTTCAATGCCCTTAATTTAAGCCCTGGTGCCAACATAAAATAAAATAAAAACAACAGCAACAAAGATCCTATCACAGAACGATGAGAAGTAGCCAATGGGAAGTAGAAGGTGAATAACAGGTTAGATGGCAGCCACTGGGTCAAAGGAAGGAAGAAGTCCCCAGTGTCCCCTGTGCTTTGCATTCAGGATGTGATGTAGCACTAGAGTTGAGACAGACACCACATTGTGATGGCTGCAGGCGGTAATGAACTCGGCAAGTTCAGCTGCTCCAGGTAGAAGAGGAGGCCTTGCAGGCCTTCTGTCAGGACCAGCTCAGGTATACAGAGCAGGGGTGTGAGTAGGACTGATACAGTTGGCCTCTGTTAATTTCTAGGAGGAGGAGAGGATGTGTTGAGAATGGTAGGAATTTAAAGCATTTATATACAACTATGTACATCCTTTCCAATTTGCCCTGGGCCTACAGACATCCTCAGAGGCTTTCCCTGCACACTCAAGATCTGATCAAGTATTGCTTTCCCGCCCCCCCCCCCAAAAAAAAAACAGCAGATAATGAATCACAGCTAGAGTATTCCCTATGAAGTGTTTGGGATTTTTTTTTCCAGATTATGGGATATTGCATACACAAATGAGATATCTTAGAGATAGGCCTCAACTCTATACACAAATGCATTTCATACACACCTTATACACATAGCCTGGAGGTAATTTTTTAAGGTAGGGGATTTGAACCCAGAGTGTCACATTTGCCAGGCAAGAGCTGTACCACTCTCAGCCCTATAAAAATACCTTTAATAATCTTGTGCATAGGACAGGTTGTATACCTAAATGATCTGATTTGTGTGGTGTCTTCTTGGTGCTTAAAAAGTTCCATATTTGGGCTGGGCCTGGGTGGCTTAAGCCTGTAATCCTAGCTATTCAGGAGGCTGAGATCTGAGGATGGCAGTTTGAAGTCAGCTAGAGCAGGAGCAAATCCAGGAGACTCTTATCTCCAATTAACTAGCAAAAAGTAAGAAGTGGAGCTGTAGTTCAAGTGATAGAGTGCCAGCCTTGAGTGAAAAAGACAAGCATCAGGGTCCCAAGTTCAAGTCCTGATACTGTCACGAAACAGAAGAAAGAAGAAGCAGCTGAGACCTAGGCTCTAGGTTCCCAGACTCTTTGCACAACTGATGTTTTGGCCTGAGCCAGTCTTGGGCGATCCTTTGCCTCACAGAATGTTCAAGAGTATCCTTGAGGCTGGGCACCAGTGGCTCATACCTGTAATCCTAGCTACTCAGAAGGCTGAGATCTGAGGATCACGGTTCAAAGCCAGCCCAGGGCAGGAAAGTCCATGTGAGACTCTTATCTCCAATAAACCACCAGAAAACGGGAAGTAGTGGCTGTGGCTCAAGCAGTAGAGCGCTTACCTTCAGCTGAAGAGCGCAGGGGCGGTGCCCAAGCCCAGAGTTCAAGTTCCCCCCCCCCCAAAAAAAAAGAGTATCCTTGGCTTCTACCCCCTCCATACCAGTATATATCAACCAGGACCCAGACACGACAACCAAAACCTTTCTCAGCCATGGCCAAGGGTGTCCCCTGGAGCTTAAACTGCCCCCATTTGAGAACCTCTGACTTAGCCATAGGAGGTCAGAAGAAAATGGACAAGGGCACAGGTGTGGAGGGCCAGGCAAAAGGAGCCAACGAGTCCCAGAAGAGAGGGGCTGATGGCAGGGAAGATCTGGGAGAACAACAAGGGCTGTGAGTGTAGAGGTTTCCATGGGTGGAGTCTGAGGATGAGCGGGAAAGTTGGGAGGCTGGGAGATGTCACCAGGACCTGAGGCTCTGGCCCTTAGCATCTCAGAGATGGCTGCAAGTATGTTGTTTGGGGAGAGAGGCAGCTCTGGGGGGAGGGAGCCACTGACTGAGGCTGTCTGGGGCCCAGTTCCCAACTGGATCAATGACTATTGACTCTTAGTGAGAGGAGGAGGGACAGACACCACCTCAGCCTTTGCAAGAGCAAAGTCAGTGGTCGAAGGCCCTAGAGGCTCATTCCCTTTGATCCGTGGTAACTGGAGCTCAGCAAGAGCCAGCCCGGGCTTCAGTGTCACCACCCTGTGACTCTCTAGCCCCTACCCGGCCCTGCCCCCAGCCTTCTCATGGGGTAGGGGTGAGGAGCTCTCTCCCCGCTGAACAGGGATTGAAGATTTTCCTGACCTGAAGACCAGAAGAATTTGGAAAGTTCTGAATGAAATCCAAACTGTTGAACTAGTTTGCCTCAGACCTCTAGAGGAGATAAATTCCTGGGTATCAGCAAGAGATCATGATCAATTGCTCGGCTGGAATCCCAAGGATGTATGTTCCTAGAGGTAGCCAGCCAGTGAGCAGGCAGAACGTTAGTGAGATGAGCGCCCTTCCCAGCTTAGTACACTCCTTCCCTTCTCCACAGCTTAGCATGCTCCCTTCCTAGGCAGTGCTAGGCCCATTTAGTAGGCAGTAAATAATCAGCCGCCAACCCCCTTTACCTTGGGATGGCACTTCTCTGGGGCATCTACCACCATATAAGGCAACAAGAGCCCCTTAGAGTGACCTTCAGGTCTGGGTGGCTGCAGGACCCTTATCTACTATTTGGATAGCAGCCATAAATCCTGGTCCACCATGATGAAGCCCCTGGCCCACATGTCCACACCAGGGTCTCTGCCTCCTAGCCCCTTCTGGTCCCTCAACCTCCTAGGTTATATAGGTCACCCCAGACAATAGCCGGTGCTTCTTCTCACTTCTCCCTTGTGAGAAGGGGTCTTGCTGGCCCCTTTCCTGGCAATAAACCTTTGTTCTCGGTACCTGGATGTCTGTGTGGTTTTTCTGGCAAAGTCCAAATAATCTAACACAAGATAGAAGAGTGGACTGGCCTGAGGACTCTCTGCCATGGGGTGGGATCTCCCTACCACTTTCAAGAATCTGGGTCATACAGAACAGCAGCCATGGAGCCCTCTGGCTCTCAGTCCAGACCATGTCCTTGAGCACAGGGACAGGCTGAATCCCTTTTGAAAGCCTGCATGCTGGCAACAGACTCACCACTTAGTCTCCATGTTACTGTTGACTCTGATTGGCCAGGTCACCCTCTCTGCACCTCCCGGTTCTCCAATCACAGCACCTGCTTCCTAGGGCTGTCCTGGGTGACAAGAGCAGATGAGGGGGAAAGGCTTAGAACAGCGCTGGCCCTAAATCAGCTCTCAGTGGGTACTGGGGTTGTGAGTCTCTCAGGAAACCACTCCCAGCAGCTGGCAGTTTTGTGGCTAATCCCTTCCAAGGTCCTTAGATCCACAAGGTTGGATAATCTGGGAAGAAACTTGTTATGTACTGGGAGGGAAAAAGGGTTAGCCAAGAAAATGGAAAGGATAAATAGACTGAGTGGTTCAGACCTGCAGTCTCAGCTACTTGGGAGGCAGAGATGCAGGATCAAGTTCAAGGCCAGCCTGGGGCAAAAAATTAGCAAGATCCAAACAAGCCTGGCGGCAGAACATACCTACAGGTCTCAGATATTGTAGAAGGTAGGAGCTGAAGCCCGCCCTAGACAAAAAGGGAGACCTATCTGAAGAACCTAAAACAAAGAGGGTTGCACCAGTTCGGGAGAGCACCAATTTGGCCCTGAGTTATATTCTAAGTACTGGGGGAGGGGCGGGGAGAGGAGGAAAGGAGGAGGAAGGGAAGAGAGGATGGTGTAGAGATGGGTACCTACAAACCCAGTAACTTTGGAGGCTGAAGCAGGAAGATCTTGAATTCAAGGTCACCCTGGGCTATATAGGAAGACCTGTCTAAAACAAACAAAACAAAACAAAACTAGAAGAAAGTGGGAGAGAAAGGAGAAGAAAAGCAAGTCAGAACTGAGAATCTGCTTTACAGAAGAAAAATGGTTTCAGAACCTTTCAACTCGGTACTCATATGTAAATTTCAAAGTTAACTTGCTAACCCCAATGGTCCTCAAGGCTCAGCAGCAGGGCTTTGTTACAAATCATCCCCTCCAGCACCTGGAAGTAACCCCTAAACTTCCTCTAAAATCAATGTTACAGAGCCTACACCCATATTCCAGCCCTGGGGGGCACTGCAGGCCGAAAACCTTGAGTTCATAGCCAGCTTAGGCTATGTAGTAAGAATCTATCTAACAATAATAACTATTATTATTTATTTAGTAATCAATGCTTTAATGCTTTCAACAAAAGCATGAGATGTATATTCTTCTCTTTTTCTTCTTTTTTTTTGCCAGTCATAGGAACTGGGTGCTGTGCCTGAGCTCTTTAGCTCAAGGCTACTGTTCTACCACTTTGACCTCAGAGCCACTTCCAGTTTTCTGGTGGTTAGTTGGAGATGAGAGACTCAGAGACTTTCCTGCCCAGGCTAGCTTTGAACCAGGATCCTTAGATCTCAGTGTCCTAAATGGCTAGGATTACAGGCCTAAGTCTGGTGTAGGCTAGTTTCCCTGAGAGCATGGACAGATTAGAGTATAGCCAGAGAGGAGAGGGAGGTGAGTGCGGCTATGAGACTATATGAGCCAAGGATTAGGACGAAACCCATTCTGTGCACAAAATGCCATTAATTATATATAAATTTCTCCCTCTTTCTTCCTTCCTTCCTTCCTTCCTTCCTTTCTTTCTTTTCCTTCCTTCCTTCCTTTGCCTTTTTTGTTGTTGTTTTTGCCAGTCCTGGGGCTTGAACTCAGGGTCTGGGCACTGTCCCTGAGCTTCTTTTGCTCAAGGCTAGCACTCTATCACTTGAGCCACATCACCAGTCTAGCCTTTCTGTTTCTGTGGTACTGAGGAATTGAACCCAGGGTTTCATGCATGCTAGACAAGCATTCTACTAGTAAGCCACATTCCCAGCTCTCCCCCCCCCCCACCCCCCTCTGCTTTTTTTCTTTTGGTTGCTGATCCTCTGGCTTGAACTCAGGGCCTGGGCACTGTCCCTGAACTGTTGTGCTCAAGCCTAGAGTTACCACTTGACAGCTCTACTTCTGGGCTTTTGGGGATTTATTTGGAGATAAGAGTCTCACAGACTTTCCTGCCTGGGCTGGCTTTGACCACAATCCTCCAATCTCAGCCTCCTCAGTAGCTAGGATTACAGGCATGAGCCACCACTGCTGGCTACATTTTTTTTTTCTTTTTCTTTTCTTTCTTTTTTTTTTTTTTTGTTGTTGTTGTCAGTCATGGGGCTTGAACTCTGGGCCTGGGCACTGTCCCTCAGCTCTTCAGCTCAAGGCTAGTGCTCTACCACTTGAGCCACAGTGCCAATTCTGGTTTTCTGGCAGTTCATTGGAGATAAAAGTCTCACAGACATTCCTGCCTGGGCTGGCTTTGAACCGTGATCCTCAAATCTCAGCCTTCTGAGTAGCTAGGATTAAAGGTATAAGCCACCCGCGTATAGCGACATTTTTTTCTTAAAGTCAGAAAGACATTGCATGGAGGCGGGGAGGGGAGAGGGGAGTGGGAGTTATCTTCATACCAGTAATCCTAGCTATTCAGGAGGCTAAAATCTATAGGATCATGGTTTGTGGCCAACCTGGGCAGAAGAGTTTGGTAGACTCCATCTCCAAAACATCCAGTAGGAAGCAGAGCTGGGACATGGCTTAAGTGAAAAAGGACCAGTCTTATCAGACAAAAGGGTCTGAGTTCAAACCTCAATACCACTCTCTTAAAAAAGAAAAGCTACTCAAAAATGTTTACTGATTTAGCTGGGTGCTAGTGACTCATACCTATAATCTTAGCTACTCAGGAGATTGAGATTTGAAGACTGTATGTAGTCAAAGCCCAGGTAGGAGAATCTGTGAGACTCTAACCTTCAATTAACCACACACACACACACACACACACACACACACACACACACGCGCACACACACACACACACACACACACACACACACACACACACACGCCAAAAGTAGAGCTGTGGCTCCAATGGTAGAGTGCTAGCCTTCAGCAAAAAAAAAAAAAAACAAAAACAACACAAAAAACCAAAAACCTCAAGGATAGTACCCAAGCCCTGAGTTCAAGCTCCAGGAGCAGCATACACAGGTAAAAAAATTTTCAACAATTCAAACAGGCCTTGCCCTACGTAGTTTGAATTGTTTACATTGCCTATGTTAATAGATGTCTTGTTGTTCTTTTTTTTTTTTTAGATGAAGTCTTCCAGTGTAGCCTCAACTGACCTTGTACTCGTGTGTCTGCTTGGAGGGTTGGAGTGCTGGGCCTCCAGCACTAGTGCTAGGATTACAGGCAAAGAGCCACCGCGCTAGACTAGACAACTATTTAAAAAATCATTCCTATACTATTCTTATACGTATCATTCAACAGTGGATAACGTTCTAGGGACACATAGCTGGGTTTATTGGACCACGAGTTCTCAGAGGTGCTTCTCTGAGAAAGTCACAGCCCTGGGGAATGAAATGACTTGCTCTGAGTTCCTTCTAGAAAACCAGGCTGATTGAAAGGGATACATGGAGGGCTGGCCTAGAGTTTAGAGACACCTTAATCCAGGGACCTATCCAGGAGGATGAACTGACATAGGAAACTATCTACCTGCCACCGTCTCAGGCCACCTTTCCACTGAGGCACTTAGCTGTGTGACTTTTAAATGTTACTTGCCCCTGGGGAATATTCCTGGAATATTTCCTCTTGGGCCTCTTCCAGCCAGAAGGATGTACTAGACCTGCCTCTCTCCACCACTGCTAGAGCTCAGGCAGAAATCTCTAATGAAGCATCTTGTCATTAGAAAGATTAGCCAAAACCAGGCTGATCCCAGACAACTGATGGAAATCTTGTACCACACAAATGATAGCATGGAAAATAATGATGGGCAATTAGTGTCTTTCAATCAGGGTTTCTTATCCATGACTTTTCAGGCTGTGTGCACCACAATGAGAGGAGAGAGGCTGCGTGCAAGCAGGAAGGACAGCTAGGAGGTCCCAGTCCACCTGCTCACTGCTCACTGCTCACTGGCCACTGATGGCCTCTGGAAACTTCCTTCCTGGATCCTCTTAATTAAGTGCCTTCATGCAGGTGCAGAGGGACCTTGTGACTGACTCTCACTGTTGCCCACTTGGTGGAAGGACAGTCTTACTCCCTCTCACCTTCCATCATCCCTCCGTGCATTTGTCCACTCAACCATCTAAACCATTCACGCAAAGCCCCCCGCCCTTTTGTTGGTCATGGGGCTTGAACTCTGGGCCTGGGCACTGTCCCTCAGTTCTTCAGCTCAAGGTGAACGCTCTACCACTTGAGCCACAGCATCACTTCTGGTTTTCTGGTGGTTTATTGGAGATAAGAGTCTCCCGGACTTTCCTGCCCTGGGCTGGCTTTGAACTGCGATTCTCAGCTCTCAGCCTCCTGAGTAGCTAGGATTATAGGTGCCAACCACTGTCACCTGGCCACAGGCTTCTAAAACCAACTCTCTAGCACTGTCTCCCAAGGACTGGTACCTAAGCTCAACTTGTTTATCTTTCTGTCTGTCCATGTGCTTGCCTCTATCTTTCTCTCTTCTCAGTCTCTGTCTCTCTCTCCTGTGTGTGTATGCACACGTGAGAACATGCATGCATACACACACACTCACACTCACACGCACACACGGGGAGCCCCCTCAGAAGTTGCCATCCACACCAAAACCCTGGCCCAGCTGACAGACCCAAGGATGGGCACCTAGGCCAGCCAGTCCCTCTCAGGAAATTTCTGGTGTCAGGGCTGCCTCTCTCTCTAGGGACAGCAGCAGCAAGTCCTGAGCTCATGAGCACACACACCATCAATGTGCAATGAGAAAGAATATCGAAGCTGGCAGCAGAGTAGAGCAAGGGGCCGGGGCCGAGTCCTGGAGCCTCCCTCCGTGGCTACTGGCAGTGGCTTCGGAGCCCCACAGCATCTCTGTGCGGGTCAGTGAGCCTGGCCTGACTCCCTGTTGCCTTAACCAACACAGGAGGCTTCTGAAAAATAGCTCCTGCGCCATCTCATTTATTCATTGATTCAATCCTTTACTCATTTCACTCCTTCTCATCATACCACATTTCATCAACTATAGGCTTTTTTTTCCTTCACATTTTACTGTGTTGGCAATCAGAATGCATCCAAAATTGATGACATGTCATAGTTTAGCCAGTACCAGAAAATAATGAGGCCCTTTAATGGATGAT